TAGAGTTAGCATTTGACATTTCAGCAGTAGACCCATTTCATGAGGATTCAGGCTCTTATTAACAAACAAGATAAACAAAATAAATAAAAAAAATCCTGCATTTACAAAACTCAAGTGATCTAAACTCCAGAAACCAAACCTGGAATCTAGGGTCATTGACGTCACTGACGCCCTTATAGTAGAAGTTGTCACCAAGTGCTAAAATGAAGTTTGCGCCCATCTGAGAAGCAGTTTTGGCCATCATGCGTGCAGTGGCCTTCTCTATAGGGGTAACGTAAGGAGGATATGGCAGACCACCCCAGTCCCCCAAAACCAGGAACCTGATAGATGACTTGTTACCTGATGAAGGCAATAAAAGAGTAGAGAAACACTCAAGAGATTACAGATAATTAATACGGAGATTTAGAACACAACTGACAAGTTCTTAAGCATTTAATATAAATCAATGCCAACTCACTTCCTTTAGCTTCCAGGTCAATGAATGAGGAGCGGTAGCAGAGGACCCCAGGGAGAGCAGTTAAAAACACCAGCATTAGTGGTGACGCCATCTGTACAAAAAGACAGTAACAACATCATATAAAAAAAGTTAACCACCCATTTCTCACAAGCATAAAACCAAAAAGAACTGAAACTACATTGAAGCATCAAATTCAAGCAATCTCACAATACTGAAAACTCACATACCAGCAGCTATTGCTCTTTGAGAACCCTCTCTCTACACCTCATACCCATCTACAGCATTGGCTCTATCTTTATATCATTCTGATCATCAATAAGCCATGCCTTGATTTCAGTTACAGCTGTTTTCTTTTACCCCATTAACCAGCTTGACCAATGGGGTGGTAGAAACACTGCAGCTGAATTTTGAATAGTACACTAGCATACCACTCTTACTATTTCTGTCATATCTGTAGTATGCTAGTATGCTATTTTGTATGCATAGACATACACATACATATACAATTTCCCAGTGATAGTGATAGTTCAGTTGAAAAAGGGGAACCGTATCATAAAATCCCAGATTAAAATACAACTGAGAAACAGACAACAGAGTTGTGGTTATTAAACTGTGACATTATGATAATCTAGAGCAGATAAAAAGACTCACAATGAATGAGTGGCTTAGTCCTTGAAGTATCCTTGTGTGAGTGATCCCTCCACTGGATGCTCTGTTTCCTCTCATCCACTATATATTAGGTCCCATATAGGGATGGGTGTGCACATGTGACCTAAGCATGCAGGCGAAGCATGTTCCTACTGACTCCATGACCACAGATGCATGTGACCAAAAGCATGTGTTTCAAACACACCTAGTAAGACTAATGTTCCACTTTTTACTTCTCTTGTTTTTATGTTCTGCCTCTCTTTAGATTTATGTAAAACAACTACAGAATGCTGTTAAATCATATAAAATGATAGATGTATTAACATTTAAGTCATTAAGAAATTAGGTTTGTGACCTTTATTTTGTGTCAGTGTTGAGGCTAAATGCTAGTTCAGAAAACTGAGAGCATCTGGCACAGATGTTTGGTGACAGTCAGCGTTCCAATTCATGCTAAAGGTGTTCAGTGGGGTTCAGGTTTTGTGCAGGTCAGTCAAATTGCTTCACGCCAGACTCAGTAAATCATTTTTGCATGGATTTTGCTTTGCGCACAGGAGCATTGTTGTGCTGGAATAGAACAGAGCCCTCCCCAAAGTTGAAAGCACAAAATTCTCTAGAATGTCATTTTATGCCATAGCATTAATAACTGTCATTTTATTAATTACTGGAATGGCAGAATTGGTTGATTAGAAAGGGATCTAATCAACCAAAAAGCAATTTTGTGCATAAATTAAATGAAATTCTGATAGCTTATAATGTAAATCCATAAGTGTATAGCAGACTACTTACACAAAATGCAATAATATCAGTTGTCAATCTGTATCTACCAATAATGTCTTCGTAAAATTATATTTAAATGCTTAGTTTTATGATCAAAGCTCTGTA